CCAAATATATAGATGTGTACAAACATAACCTTCATATAAATGAGAAAAAAATGTAATTAAAAAATACTTAATAAAAATAAATTAAATATATAGATGTGACAAATATGAACTTCATATAAATGAGAAAAAATATATAATTAAAAAATACCTAATAAAAATAAATTATAAAATACAATTCTATAATCATGCAAAGAATCTAGAGTCTTATTAGGCATGTAGTAATGCCTTTCATATTTAATAATTATTTGAATACATATAAAAATTGACAATTCGTGTATAATTAAATTTGCCAATCCACATAAAACTATATTCATATATCATACAAAAATTGTAGATATATACATGGAAGATATATTGATGTTGGTTATATTCCATAGTTTTTTCTTAATTTTATTTGATATTTGATATTTGATTTGAAATATTAGAAAATCACTCTCTTAATTTAATTTATAAAAAACAGAATAAAATAATTTAATAAAGTATATCAATTCATGGGATATTACTTATTTAATCACGTCGCGTATCAAATGAGAGATAAGTACGAATGTTCGATTTAAATCAATATTTTAGTTATATTTACGGTGTAAAAATATTTACAACTTCAACCACTTTTAGCATAGTCAAACATATGAGCTTGAAGTTGCAGGTCACGTGCATAATTGAACGTTATATGTATATATAATTAAAATTTACATTTTTTTGCATGAACTTAGAGCAAATAACCTAGAGCCTGTTTGGCTCAGCTTAAAAGCTGGTCAAACTAATTTAAAAGCTGATTTTTGACTTATTTAGCTGTTTGACAATATTCAAAATAACTTATTTTAAGTTAAAAGTTAAAAGCTGTGGTAGATGTGTTTTTTTTTAGCTTATAAGCTGTTTTAAGTTGACCACATTTTTATTTTTTTGCTCTTAATATTTTTTACAATCTCCAAATTACCAACATAATCCTCTCTTTCTTCCATTTTTCCTTTTTCACATTCGGCATAGCAACTTCAGCACTTTTATCCAAACGCATAACTGCTTATTTTAAAAATAAGTTTCAGCACTTTCAAAAGTATTTTTTTTTTCAGATCCATAGATTTGGTAATAATTCATTTCTTCTTTAAAAAAAAAGTACTTTTTTAAAGCTGCTTTTATTAAGTCCATCCAAACGGGCCTTAGTCATATGTGGTTGAAGTTATTATAGTTATAATGAAAGTTCATATATGAATAAATTTTACCTAGTAATAATGCATTTTTATTTTAAATTCAACAATTTAATCAAATCTTCTTTGAATAAACTCAAGTTTGAACATAAATTTTAAGTACCATAAGAAAAAGACGCTAATCATTGTTTTTTTTAAAAAAAAAATAACAACAAATGTAACAATTCCTTTTGTAATAACGATCATTTGCCAATATTTTCAAGTATTTTTAATATTGTTAACGTGATTCATACATTTTTTTTATATTTCATAGAAAATCTTCGATGCATTGCACTTCGATTACTCTTAGATGTGAAAATTACTATTGTAAACAAACACCTAACAAAATCTTCTTAAAAACAACATAGGTTAATTAGGCAGAAAATTCATCCGATTGGATTCTTCAATTCAATAGTTTTGATTTACAAGGACATCTTTTATTACGGTGCTATTACTTTAGTAGAGTAAATTTTATTATTTGCATGTAAAAACATAAATCTTCAAGGAGTAATCCAAGAATTCTTTTAATTTTTAAAAGAGTGAAGTTAAGAAAAATGCTTTTGCATATTTTTTTCTAATATGTAAACATTGTATAATTAATAACTCATCGTGGATTTTCTTAATTGACATTCTTATTTTGTCCACAAATTAAATTTTTAAAATTTTTATCTTGCATAAGAAAAACTTTGAATTTCCGATCAAATAACCTATTGAAGATTGAAGATTTATTTTTTTGGTGTATTGGTCTAGTTTACTCTTTAAAATTTTAAAGAAGGTGTTCTTCTATCACATGTTTATCAAAAAGTATGATTTTTTAGAAGAGAAAAATTTTACATATTGTTATAAGATTTAATATTATTATATGGTTTAACTGAATTTTTTATTTTTTCTCGCACGCACGGAACGGATCATATTGAGAATATTGTACGGTGAACAATGATGTGTATTCTTTGGAACAAATATGTTTTAAGTATTTAATAGAGAAAATATATAAAGTAATAACTGAAGTTGTTTTGAATTTTTAAAAAGACATCTTAATTTTGCGGGTGTTATATTACCTCGCGAAATTATCTAAATCTACAATAAATATGTTGGATTTTAAAAAAGGTGTGAATGGAAAATGAAGAGTTGCGACTTTTATGAAGAGTTGTGACTTTTATGAAATGTTGCGACTTTGATGAAAAGTGGTGACTTTTATGAAAAGTTGCAATTTTTATGAAAAGTTGTGACTTTTATGGAAAGTTGTGACTTTTATGAAAGGTGACGACCATTCTGAAAGATTGTGACTTTTCCAATGGTTTGTGACCTTTCCGGTAAGGCACAATAAGAACCTTTTCGCACCACCCTTTGTCTTCTATAAATTGAGGGATTTCCTCTCATTTTAAAATAGAATTCATTGACTTCTTCTTCAACTACTAAATCTAGTATTCTAAGTGTACTTTACTGTCGTTATGTGGTTCGCTGACACCGGATTTTTTGGTATCTATACTCTGGTGATTGAGATCATTTTACCCTGGGAGGTTATATTCCAAATCAAACCTCGGATACTAGAGGGGAATAATTTCCTTAAGGGAACACTGTGAATTCAGTGGACTTGATCTTTTTCCTATTAAAAATTTCCAAATTCTGGTACGTGTTTTACAAATTTTAGATTTGTGAATTAATTTCAGTTCTTCTATTCTTCTGTTCTTCACTGGTTCATTAAATTTGGTAACTTCGTGTTTCTGCAAAGTTTGTTGGAATCAATAAGATTCTTTAGACACATATAACAACAATTCCTCTTTAAGAAAAATATTTCATATATTTTTTTTCTGTTTCTGATTCTAGTTTCGCTACTAGTTTTAATTTTCTAGTTGTGAAAATGTTCTTAAACTTTGTTTTCTTACAAAGATGTTCAAAGTTTTGTTCTAAGTATGTTTGGAATACAAGATGAACAACAAAATATATCTTTTGACTAATTTTAACACCACTCATGATGTCACAAAATTTGGGCGCGTGAAGGACTATACACACAGCTTCAGACCAATGTAAAATTGCCATGTGTCACTCCCAATTTGACTTATTTTGAAAAAAATACAAAAATCTATGTATTAGCTTACCCATGTATTAATTTTTTAATATTTTTTCTCGTATTTCCTACCATCATTAGCTTACCCATGTATATTGGATATCTATGTTTTTCTTCATTTTTTTAAAAAACTAATCTTATTGTGTTCATTCTTATTCTTTTTTATTTTGAAAAATAAATTAGTTTAATAATTTTATTCCTCCTACGAATCAAGTTGAAATTTGGGAATAGTGAAATTATGAAAAACTCAATTTGGGAGTAAAAAGTTGGAGAAGGATGTGATATAAATATCAGATTTTGACTTGGTGATATTTTGAATATTTAAATTTTGATTATTTAACGATATTTTTTTTCATAAATAAATTAATTGGTGGTAATTTGACAAATAATTGATAATGCTGTCGAAAAATTTCGTCCCACAACAGTGAAAATAGGAGATTTGAGAGAATGGACGGATTATTTTAAATAGAATCGGGTTATTGGGTTAAAATAAGGAATATAGTCTTTTTTAAAAAAAATTCGGGTCAATTTTGGTCAATCCGTCTAATGAGGGGTAAATTTGGTGAAATTTGTAACGAGAGAAATAATATTAACTTCATTTTAACTACGAGGGTAAATTTAAACAATTAATCAAAGTTGAGAGATATTTTTAACCCTTTTCCCTTACAAAATTTAAGTTTCAAGAATTTTTAATTAGCACATGCTCAGTGCATTTTTTAAAATTAGAAGCCTCAATTTTTTTTTCACCCGATGTTCGAAGTCTGAGTTCTGACTAAAATTGGGATCGCGCATGGTATGGCCCATTCGGAGGTGACAAATTTTTAAAACTACTTTTAAATGTTAGCAAAAACAAAAAAAATCATGTTATTTTTTATATAAAAATAAGTAGAATTAGGATAGAAAATAAATTTTTTAAAATAATAATATTCCTTACATTTATACATATTTATCAATATATCCCTTATTAATTAGTTAACCTATCTCATCAGGTTAATTGATTTTTATATAATAATTTTTATTGTTTTTATATTTTGTATTATTATTTACATATTATATCTTATATATTACTTTATTTATTGTTTTTATATGATTAAAAGTAAATGTAACAAACAATATTTTCGTTGGATTAAGGATTTAGGCCTGCCCAAAAAAGTACTAACAATATATTTTTTTCTTTTTTAAATTTATGTATTATTTTGTTTTAATTTATTTTTTATATAACTTTAGAGTATTATCACAAAAAAAGAAGAAGAAGATAATAGCTAAGACTAAATCTAAAAAAAATAGGTAAAAGATAACAAAAATATTATTTCAATATTTTCAACAATATTTATTTATGTACAATAAATGTAATTAAAATTTCTTTGTCGATATTTAAAATATTTTTTCTCTTAAAAAGTAATCTTAACATTAAAAACATATTAACATTTGCTCTTTTTTGTAATTTGACTCTCAAATATATTTTTTTTAAAAAATTAAATCAAAACATAATTTGCTTATCAAAAATACTTTAACAGTTGCCAAACAAGATCTAAGCCAAACAAAAACCAATAACAATTAAATTAATAAATATCTATAATTTAATTTCATTTTTAATTCAATAAAAATTTGAACAATCTACTGGGAAGCATAAAAGATACTAAATTTTATTTTTTTTCCTTTTAACAACATCAGTGAAGACGAGGCTTGACGCTAACATAGTTAAGCGGTTCACGTTACGCATTTCAAAATTTTCTTTTATCCTTTCTGACCCCACCAAAAAACAACTAATTCAGAAATGCACCCCAAACTTTTGAGATCATACTCTTCATTCATCCAACAACCAGGCCTTTCTTAAATTTATCCAAAAGGGCTTGTTGTTTTCATATTTGCAAGAAAATCATGTGCTAAATCGGAAAATCCACCGGCCGAACGAAGATTGAGACGCCGGAAATGCGAGAACTGAAGCAAAAATTGCAGTTGTAAACAGTGAAGGTGTGGATGACGATGGACAGAGAGAAGGAGAGGGAGATGGAGTTAGAAAGTGCAATGTACACTAACTGTTTGTTATTAGGCCTGGATCCAGCGATCATAGGTATCGTAGCTAACAATGGCACTCCTCGTGTTGGATTTTTTCGTCATTCAAACCCTAAATTGGGAGAACAGCTTCTTTACTTCCTACTTTCTTCTCTTAGAGGCCCTGCTCAATCCTCCAAGGTAACTTTTTAGCTTGTGCAGGCTTTACGGATTTGTGTTTGGTACTCGTTTTCGTTTTGTTCTCTTTTCTCACTCTGAAGATCTTCAGGATTTCGATAAGGTCTGGCCAATATTTGATTCGGCGCAATCTCGTGATTTTCGGAAGGTGAGTCTGCTTTAGCTTATTCATGAAAGATGATTGTTATCTTTTTTAACAGTTTTGAAGTGAGACGTGCAGAATATAGCTGAATGATGTCTATTTTGAGATTGAGACATGTTGATCAAGTTGACTTATGCTGTAGCTTTTAAACCGTTGTTTTATCTAGAGATGTGCTTCATGAATTCGGTTTGAACTTCTTCTTCTTCTTCTTTTATGTCTAATTTATTTCATTTTCTTTTAATTTGTGTTGATTCAGGTTGTGCAAGGAATTATAAGCGAGCTGGAATCACAAGGTGCACTTCCTAGAAGCAATTCGAGGGTCTCATCTCTTGCGACATGCTGTGGACCAAGGTTGGTTAATGAAGATTACTTGCAAAATTTTTTTACAGCTTTTAATGAAAGAACTTTTCTGTTCTGTTTATTTTGAGCTATCATTTGGACCATTTGACTACATTGTAAAGCATCTTACTCGTAGAGCTGTTACAACAAGGTAGTAGTGGTCAGCTAAGTGAAGATTCTTTTGTGGAGATTAATTTTGATTTCACTACCTAATTGAGTTTGGGGTAACTAACTCACCCTCAAGACGTACAACAAAAGTCAGAATTGTAACTCTGATGTTTATCTGCATTCAAAGACATTTTATATTTAAGTGGCACAGCTTGGGTAACTATTCTGTATCTTGGTCACTTAGCACACAATTAAACAGCTATCTTCTTTGAATACTAAGCTGAATGTATCCTGATAATTCCTACCACCCAAGCTCCTCTAAGAGAGGAGACATATCTGTGGAGTTGGACTGCTGCTGTTACTGCTTTCTTGTTAGTTGCATCTCTAGTTGTGGTGTTTCTGTTGAAAGTGGGTGAAATCATAGATCTTGCTTGATTTTATCCAAAACTGTTTGGCTGGTTATTGCCAATGCAAAGGGTTTAGGACTTGGTGGAAGGTGTTTGTGCAGAAGTTTTAAGTCGGCACTAGTGTTGGGGAAGTAGCTTTGTTTTTATAGACCTTTGATTCTACAATTCAACTTTTAGGTTTCTTTAACTAAACATTATGGACAGGAATGATCAAGGAGCAAGTTATAGAAAATACTTTAGGATTGCAGCATTAGGAGGGGACATAGAAGGTGTTTAGGTTGGTTTTAAGTACTTTTTGGCCTACTTTGGTGTCTATCGTACTTTTGTATTTTAAAGCCAAAACGAGTTAAAAGGTATAAGTTGATCACTCTAACTTATTAATTTTCAGCTGAAAAGATATTTTTCCCTTTATAGAGCAGCTTGAAAGCTCTTTAACATCCCATTTGAGTGAGCTGAAATTAAGCAGCTTTTAAGATAGTGTTGGAGCTGAATTTTTGATAAGCATTTATGTGTTCGTGTAAAATTGTTGAAACTAACAAAAAAAGCAGTTGATAATTTTTGGTAAAAAAATATGAAAGATTTTTTTCCTAATAAGTTACTAAATACAAAGTAACTTTTTATCAATTTACTTTAAGTTGTAAATTGAATAGATAAGATTATCTTTAATAAATATAACTTATTTATTTAGCTAACATATACTAATTATTAATTTTACAAAAATTTTGTGAAGGAATACTGTGAACAAATATATTTGAACTTACCTGAAGAGTAAATAAATAAATATTTAATCATAAAAAGAAATTTCGAGTAATTTATATTCCAAAATCAAATAACCACGTAAATGGGACTTGATTTAACACTTGTGAGAAACTTGTAATGGGACTCAATTCAGCACATGAAAGAAATTTCAGTGAGACTTGATTCTGTACAGACTTAAAATATTCCATACAAATCATAACAGAACTTGTTTTGTAAAGAGAAGCACTTAAAACTTGTGTAAAACGTACATTGCTCAGTTTACGTTGTTTAAATAAATGAGTTTGGATTCATGACTTCTTTTAAAAAATGGGCTATAGATCGAAAGTCCATTAGCATATAAGGGATAAAATTAATGGTTAGAGTAAAATTTATATGAAATAGTATACGACATGCAAAGTATTCAAATTATTTATGAAATTAATATATTGAGTATATAATTGGTCGGTTTGGTTCGGTTCTTTATACGGTTTGTTTCTAATAAAACCAAACCAAACCAAACCATATTCTCAGTTTTTAAAATTTATAACAAAATCCAAACAGATATCGGTTTTGTTTAATCAGATTGATTCGATTTCAGTTTGAAAGTATTTTTCACCTAACCGTGAACATTCCTAAAGTAGGTGGCAATACTAATATTTAGTCTTTAATTAGTAGCCAAAAAAATATATTCTTAATTCTCTTCATGAATATTTTGCACCATTTTTACCATTTTCTTATTTACCAACTTTGGTCAAATTATTCATGATTTATGTTATTCAACTAAATAATTTTTTTTTCCAAAAATATCCTATCTAATCAATAAGAACTTAAAGTGAATGAAGTTATAAAATTTTATTGAATTTGGAACTGAAATTCTTGCAATAGCCTATTGTATATAATGTAAGAACTATTCAATAATTTTAACAGCAAAATGTGTTTACCAACACTTTTCACCAAAGACACAAACTGTCCATTCATAATTTTAACTAGTAAAATGCGTTTGCCAACACTCCAACACTTCTCATCAAAGACATTAGCTGTTTATTCAATTTCAGCACTTTGAGTAGTACTGATTATCCATAAAGATAACTCCAACACTTCAGAATTGTAATGTATTTTTATTCAGCTTATCCAGACGAGCTCATGGAGCTCCTAAGTCCTAAGGAAGCTGGGCTTGAAACTACATAACACTGACTGTTATATTTAGGAGTGTTCATGGTTTGGCTTGAGTCAGTTGTCCCTAAAAAGAAAACAAACCAATTAAGTTGTATTTTCAAATATTGGAATCAAACTAATTAAAGTCATTTTGTCAATTTTGTTGATTTTTTTTTTATGTTTGCTTCCAGTTTTGTTTTCTTCTTCCAAATATGTGACTTATATGGGTAAACACATTCCATCATAACTTTACCAAGATAATTACTTTTTAAGAAACTTGTCATTTACCAAGATATCTAGATGGTAATTGAGTAAAATAGTGATGAATAATTAAGTTACCAATTTCAAAAACTAAAGTTAAATAGTGATGAATTAGTTTACTAATTTAGTGACTCAATTAAAGTTAAGTTATTCTAATATGAAATAGATTCTTGGGCTTATCAAAATGAAACTACAAATCAAATTAGAATATAAAGACAAAAAGCTAAATAATTATGAAGGAAACACTCTTAGACAAACCAAGCTGTAAAAGATTAATATGTACCATTAAATTTTAACTATGTATTTATATAATCGGTTTGGTTCGGTTTTCAGCTATTTTTTGCTTAAAACCAAATTAAACTCAAACTTTGTCGGTTTGATAATTAAAAACCAAAACCAATTCAAACGGAAAAAACGTCCTTTCTCCAGTTTGCTTTGGTTTCCGGTTAGGTTTGATTTTTGAATTTTCCATGAACATCCCTAGTTATGTTAGTGATTTCAGCACACATCTGAGTAAGTATATGAATGAATAACCACACGGTTTTGGTTCAGTAGTAAGAGCGCAACATGTGATGACTGATGTGTGGATTAGACGCACATCACTAATTGTCATAGACAAAATCCTATTATTAAAGTGAAGGATAGAGAGGTGACCCATTATTGTTTATTTCATAAAAAAATTAAATTTACGAATGAACAAATATCGTTGATTCTGTGCCGCTGTTACTTAATCATCCAATTTCAGAATCTTTTGGCATGATAATTAGTTGTCCGTGCAATTCTAGTTCTGTCTGCTTATTATTCTGTAATACCTACCTGTTTGTTTGGGGTTCCATTTTTGTGGTCTTTTTCCATTAGTACATATTACATGCAAAAGGACGCATGATAGCATTCATGTACTTAGTATTCAGGATTGTTTCACATGTACTGCAGATTCGTCGAACTTCTGTGGCAACTCTCACTGCATGCTTTGAGGGAAGTTCATAGGCGAACATTTGCTGCTGATGTTGCTTCTAACCCGTTACCTGCTTCATTGACGGATGTAGCTTTCTCACATGCAGCCACCTTACTTCCTGTAACAAAGGTCATATTCTTTTGGCTTTATGTCCATTTATTTGATAAGGGACTCTAAAATTATTTCATTGTTTGTCCACATGATGGGTTGCTGGGACCTTGAAATCTAATGATTTAGTGCCTCTGTTGGGTAGCTATTATCTGAAGACAAGGGTTCAATTTCTGCAATTTTAAGATCCAATGTGTAAATGTATCTTGAATTATTCACTTTCTTTTGAGGGCTTAGTTTTCTTTCCTATGAAGCTATTTCCAGTTACCAAGCCAAATAATATTTCATGAAGTAACAGTTTCTCCATTTTCAATACTCTATGAAAGGTATTGAGTGGGACTATACTGATTTACTTAGCTAGTCTTTGACCCAATATGTTATGTGGATAACTTTATGGTTTAAATTATTATTGCGGGTTTGGAGATATAATTGTGGCCTTGTTTGTCGGTGTAGGCTAGGATTGCTCTTGAAAGAAGAAGGTTTCTGAAAAATGCTGAAATAGCAGTTAACAGACAGGCTACGTGGTCTAATTTGGCTCATGAGATGACAGCTGAGTTTCGAGGCCTTTGTGCTGAAGAGGTAAAATAAAATCTTATGAATTGTCTGAGAATTTGTCTTGATTTCTGTTCTTATATTCATTGTGGTAACTGTTTCTTCTAATACATCTTTGATCCTCTTGATCTCAGGCTTATTTGCAGCAAGAACTTGAAAAACTGCATGATGTTAGAAATAAAGTAAAGTTGGAAGGTGACCTCTGGGATGAGCTTGTATCAAGCTCAAGTCAAAACTCGCATATGGTCCAAAGAGCTACTCGCTTGTGGGACTCTTTGCTATCCCGCCAGAGTGAGTACAAACAGTTGGTTATCTTCAATTGGCCGTCATTATGAAATTCCATAAATGCTCAATTAATATGTTCTACAATATGCTATATACTCCATACTTTGTCCTTGATATGGTAACCCATTCCCCTGCCTAGGAGTCAACACTGGCTTTACCCCACTTTGCTCCCTTGGTGAAAGAACACACATCATGGTTGGAGCTGGACGACCCATTTACTAGGCTATCCCTCTCTTCACAAACAGATATATATTTGATATTGCAATGAATATAACAACTAGTCAAGTGATCCGAATCAGTTTTAGCGTCTTATACATCATATTACTAATATGCATATGCTGTACAGATCAGCATGAGATTCTTGCTTCTGGCCCAATAGAGGATCTTATAGCTCATCGTGAGCATAGGTAAAGATCACTTTCTGTATGATCTTTGGTTTTCATAGCTGGACTTACCTTCACATTCTTTTTTTAATGTTCTTGTTCAGATATCGCATATCTGGGTCGGCTTTGCTTGCAGCCATGGATCAAAGTTCTGCGGCGCCACCTCGTGGTTTAGTTTCATCGCATCCAGATAATGAACGGTCTGAAAGATCACCAGCAGTTGTAAATAGAGAAATGCATGTGAACAATCCAGATTCTTCTCATACTCAAGGAAATGATGAGAGATTTTCTCGAGTTGATGAAAGGACTGCTAGAGGCCATCCTACTATTGATATAGCTGAAGTGTTGAGGCGTTGGACACATGCATTACAACGAATTCATAAGCAGTCACTTCAACTAGTATGCTATTTCTATGTTGACTCAAAATTTTAGGTTTTTGAAGAGTGCCTTTGACCCCAAAGTTTGCTGATTTTAGAAAAAGAGTGCTTTGACCCCAAAATTCTCAATGTTTAGACTACATGTTTGTGATGTTTCTTAATATTAGTCATCCTTATAACTGTATGTTTGTGATGTTTCTTAATATGTGGAGTTTCTAGTGGTCCAAAATGGAAATAACTTCTTAGAAGTTAGAATCTTACTATGGTGTCAGAACTTTTGCTATGGTCAAGGAATGTGCATAAACCGTCTTGGCATGTCATAGAGCATTGTATCTGCTTATATCAGTTTTAGCAACTTTATCTAGTGATGTCTTAAGGAAAAATTATCAACAGTCTGTGTTCTTATGAAGCTTCCCATATGTGAAGTTATAATACTGGAACCTATCTATCGTTTGTCAATAATTATGTTAGAAGCATGTGAAACTATTTCTTTTCCTCATCTCTTCTTTTATTCTTCCTAATACAATAAGTTCTTTCAGGCAAAAGTAAATGATGGAGAGGGTCCAGAGCTTCTGAGAAGCTCACATGATGGTGGTACGAGTGATCATGCTGAATACTTGAGTGCAACACTTGCTGAACATCGGCAACACCTAGCAAGTATACAGGTTTGTACAGCCTATCGAATTTTCTTGCATGTTTGAACTATTTTACATGGGCTCAAGTGGAGTATGGGATATGTTATGCATTGGTCATTGGGTTCTGGTAATTTCCAGCATGTTTTGTGTATTTGGAGGATCCGTACGAAAGTGCCTTCATTCATGTCCTACCCGTTGAAACTGGTGTAGAGACCATTGAAGATTCTGAGTAACTTAGCATTTGGAAAGTTGATTATCTGAAGAGGAAGTGGTATTCCTGGAATCCTCAGCATTACATACAAATTGCATTAACTTATTATGATGATAATATAGTGTTGAAACTTCTCTCCAGGTGCTCATAAATCAACTCAAGGAAGTTGGTCCAGCTATACAGAATTCAATTGCACAGCTTACAGAAGAAGTCAATAGTGTTTCATCCAGTCTTCTCCCCATGGCCGAACATCATGCTAGATCACATTCACTGGTCCAAGCACAGAATAGCAGACAAACATTGGTAATGTTTTGTGAAGCCTTTCATGGGACTTGTAACATATTTACCTTCTGATACACACCACGGAATTTAAACAAAAGGAATTCTACAGGAGAACAGCACTGATGAGGTAGCTGAGATGACCTCAAAAATGTCGTCCATGCATATTGAGAAGGCATCGGCCAGTTCCCCTGCCTTAAAACTTCCACCTTTGTTTAGTTTAACGCCAAATTCTTCCGGAAAAGGTGGGAACATGCAGAAGAGACAGGTCTCAGCTCAGGCCAGCCAAATAGATAATATGCATGAGAAAAAATCTCCAGATCTGCCAATTTCGAATAATTCAATGGATAATCCTCCGCAAGGTTTTTTCCTTCCTTCTAAATGCGTGCACTGATTTTCTTCAGTTTTGGATCTCTAAAAAATGTTGCCTGTATTTCAGCAGATGATGACACTAGCTTTGTCCAAAATTTGAAGAGATCTGTCAGAGAAGCTGCACTTTCCTCCCAATTGTGCTATCCGGAATCATCTCAAGATAGCCGTTCTGATGATAGCTCTGAGCACTATTTTATACCTGTACCAGGGGTTGGGTTTTCTCATTTTGGTAACAAATCAAACTTATTGAGAAGTAAAAAGCTGCTTGCGCCCGAACCAGATTTATCTTTTCTTGGTAACCAGGCTCCACGCAGTCATGTGTGCATCAAGTCAGAGGGACTGCCTGACTTTTTCAATGATCTGCGATCTCTTGATGACTATGATGGCATAGATGGTTTTCTTTCGACCATGGGTTCAAACTCTTCAGTTTCTGATGCTTGCAGGTCATTTTATGATTTGGATGAAGCTGAAGATCAAGTATTTTCTCCTCCTTTGCTTATGGATATGTCACTGCTGGCAGACTCGTACGAAGATTTACTTGGTATGTTGGTTTAAGCAATTGTTTATTATTTTGGCAGTTCTATTACCACTGCGCTATCTGTATTCCCTGGGCTATAGCTTTGCAGTGCTGGTTTTCTTGTTCTTTAGAACATGCACTGACATGATTTGAATTTTTAAATTATAGCTCCACTAGGTTTACCTTTTTTTCCCTGACCTGGGGATTACGAGTTAAAAGTATCACTGTGGAGCTCAATTGCAACTTGCCTTCCATAAATGTGCCAATTCTATATTTTTCTTAATTCGAAGTATAGGTTTCATGCTCTAATTGATGGCACTAGATGAATAATTTTTGAAAGCATTTCCTAGTTCTGGACATTGAATGACTTCTTAATTGTTCTTTTTTAAATGCTTCATTTTATTAAAAGTATCAACTATAGTAAATCAAACTAGATGAGGTCAGCTGAATGATACGTCTATATCCGTTTCACTCTATTTGGACCATATTACTGGTCGTTCGGCGAGATATGCGTGGGGGCTGGGGATCATCTGCATTGTAATCTACTTCTGTTTTCCTTTACCAGACCACTCTCAGTTTAATAGTTTTATGAACTTTATGCTTGCAGCACCTTTATCAGAAACTGAAACTGCATTAATGAAGCACTGAGATTGAAGTTCAAATAACCTTGCTGCTCAGCCTACAACAGATCTTCAGAACCTTGTACCTCCTATGTTTCAGTGACATGGGATAACCTCCTAACTTTGACATTTTTCTTTATCATTCGTTTATGTGTATTTTTTCATCTTATTCCGAGGAGCAGAGGGAACTTGACATCTCAAAATTTCTCTAATATCAGCTTGACAGGCTGTTGTTATCTTCAAATGTTCACCCACCATGTGAATCGGAATTCATAAGAATAAAGCTCTTCTTGAGGAGATCATCAGAACTGCCCCAAATGTGAAATGTACTCTCTAAACTGAAGGGGAAAAGTGCTTTATTACTGTTGTGAGCTACGCTAACATCTGTTGGCAGTTAAGCTTTGATATGTTCATTACACTGTCAGTTTAACAGTAAAATTTATTGTCGATAAGCAACTATCATGCCTTGATTTGTTCCAGACACTAAAGAATTATTCAGTTACTGCATGGATGGAAAAAATTGAGTCTCCATAGTGCAGCTCCAAGACCCCTTAGTTCTTATTCATTTTGCATTATCAGGCATGTGTAAAGCTACTCCAGCTTTCTGACGAAGGACTTAAATTTTTATCCTACATTGGTGTGGTTATACATGGAAACAACTTCCATGTCTCTTAAATTGTACAACTATAAGTACAAAGTTTTTTTTATCAGCTGTTGGTGTAGTTATCTTTCTAGTTTCTCCTGTCATGTCTCCCTTCTTTGAACTTGACTTGAATCCCTGTAGTATTCCATTTTAGCTTTCAATTTCTAACACCAAGCAAACTTGTCGTTAAAGGATTATATTGTGATGTATGAATTACCTTCCCTTCTAGACATTCTTAAACACCTTCCATTACACGGTGATTGTCAATATTTACATGTTCCACAGTGTTTATTGTGACTACTCAAACGTTGGTCCTTTCATTGAATTTATTTGTCCAGTTGCTTTTTATCTATAACGAACTTTTTGTTTTGCTTTTCCGAGTTATATGTTTGGACATTTATCTGTCAGCTAACCGAGCTAAGATGATTGATGCTTCCTGTATAATGTGCCGTGAATGATAGTAACCTCCAGTGGTGAATTTTTGTTCTTCCTGTAGCTGAGTATTATAGTTTTGTTTTTTCTTCAGTAGGTCCTTTCTTCTTTAGTAAGTCTTGTTTTAGCTGTTAGATTATATGGTTTTCTACAAAACAACATGCTCACAGTTTCGATGTGATCCACACATCAAATCAAATAGAACTGAGGAAAAGGTTGTCTGCTCCATTGGTCATTGACATGGACTTGAAGAAAAATACTTGGGGGAAATAGTGAAAGCAAAGTTAACACAGCTGCAGGAACAGTTCTAGTGCTAGAATTAGAGTGTTATAGGAAAATTCCGTCAAGAAAAACTCATGCGTTTCAGAAGGGTAGAGTTATCTAGTACTTGGTCTGGGTAGTAACAGGTATTCAATGAAATAGTTGAGGTGCCAGTTGGAGCGTTACAATTGGAAAGAGATGGACTGCTCATATGTTATCTTAATATTGGGAGGATACCAATTATCTCTGATGACCAATTTCTGATCCATAGTTTTGCCATATCCTGAAGGTAATGTTGCCGTTGGATTACTTAAATATGCAGGCAAGTACCATAGAAGATTTTTATTATCATTGCCTTCCTATTATTTCTTTTTTTATTTATGAGAAAAGATTTCTTAAATTTTCATATTCAAGTCTTGTGCAACAAAGCCACAAATTTTCTCATTTTTGTTGAAAATGTTAGATGATTCTGACTTTTAAAAAATAGAGATTCAAAATGAGCTAAATTATGCAAAAAGAAAAAAGAAAATGTTACTACTATATGATGATTAAAAATAGAGATTGAACCAATGAAAGAAGAGAAGTGTTTTAAGTTAACTAAATTCCAAACGTTGTAAGCAGGGAAAACATAAATGGCAAGCAACCGCGCAATGACAACGAGAGGGATTTGGACTTTGGGTTGCGTCCTTTTCTTTTTCCTCTGATTCGTGAGTTTTTTAACTGGTGTATGAACATCAATTTTTTTATTTTTTAAAGTTGAAGTTCGAAAAATACAATGATCATGACAATTTAAAATTTTATTTAAAGTTCAATTTTAGATTTTTTCAAGAATTTAAAAAGAAATGTGTTTATATATGTAATCATTTTTTTAAAAAAAATAATACAATACTGTAATAAATTGTCTATGAAATATCTATGGTTTTCATGCGTAATAAATTCTCAATTATTTTTACAAACAATCAAATAGGTTCGATAATTAATGCCTCCTCCTTCATCAATTCTTTGCCTGAATTACTATTATATCCAAATTATTTCGCTTCTTTGAATTGATGACAATATAACAATTTTGGTTAGATTTATTAGCCGATAAGTTATCCTTTAAATCATTATAATTAAATCTTTCTTACTTAGTGATTTATTGAGATATTACATCTTCGTATCAAAATTATTATAATTTTTTTCCTTCCACGTGAGTGTATGTAAAGAGTTACAACAATAGCAATTTTTTTTTTACCTGATTTGTGACCATCCTCTTCTTTTAAATTAGCTTTTTCAATGTTAAATTTTAAATTTGTACCATTTGGTATAGTTCAAAAATGAAGGGAGGGAGTACAATTTTCTTCTACAAAACAAGAAAAATAGAATTTTCAACTCTCATCTTTAACCCTCACATTCTCTTAACTCTCTTATAGACTTTTGAGGGTGAAAATGGTCAAATAACAAATTGTACCAAACTGGAATTATGGAGAATTATTATTTTATTAATATGGAGAAACTAATCTGTGGATTTGAGGTTGAAATATGTGAGAAAGAATGGAATAAAAAAATAAATAATTCAAATGGACCAAATAGATAAAAAGAAAAATAAATAGTAGAGTTTACTAAAGAAAAGGAAAGTTGGAGAAAAAGAAGAAAAAAAAAAAGTGGAAAGTTGAGAGACAAAATGGAAAGAGAAAATGGGGAGAACAATAATTCTTGCTAAACCAAACACATCATCATCTAAGAAACAACAACCAGAGCTTGGTTTCCTCAAATCCATCATCCTCTTCTTACTGTCTTCCCTTAGTTTTGGGTTGTTTTCAGATTTGAAAATCACTCACCCAAACTCTCAAAAATTCAATCTTTTTTTTCCCTACTATCCAGCTTTATTTTCTTGTTCACCACCAAAAACCAACTTAATGTAAGCATTAAAAGCTCATAGATTTTCCACCAAAATTATTTGTTTTTGTTGTTTTCTTTGTTTTTGTTTGTTTCATCCTGTTTTTCTGTGCTAAAGTTTCTTTCTTGGACTCTTGCAGGTGCTTCTTGGTGAGGAGTTTCATCTTTTTTTTTTTTTCTAAAATCATGCTCAGATCTCAACATTATTTGATCTTTGATGTATCATTATTAGTTGTTTGAATCTCAGATAAATGAAAGAATGAAGGTTGGTGAACATTTCTCCTCTTTTATTGCTATAAAAGAACATAAATTGGGTCAGAATTGTAATCTTGATATTTGAATTCTGATGTTTTATCTATTAATGGGTTGTTAATTTGCTGCATCTGGATTTGGGTTCATAAAGAACACATCTTTTTATGAATTTAATGGGAGTAGCTTGATGGTCTTGAAGAAAAAAAATGTTCTTTTTGTTAGAAATTAGAATAGTTGATAGATTTATTTCCTCAAGATATAACAAAGAAACTATGACTAACTCAAATCAGTAGATATTTGGGATTTCTTGATTTTTACTTCCCTTTATGTTATAATCTTGATTTCAATTGACGAGGAGATTCATTTGGTTATACAGGCGTAACTGTGGATTGTATGAAGATTTTATGTTGGTTTAGGGTGGTGAAGATAAGAATTTTGTGAGTTGCATGATCCCCGTGGGTCACTTCAATTGGTTAAGTAATTGGATTTCTGCAGCTTTTGGACCTTTTTGATTGACGATATGTCTTAAGATTTGAGTGTTTTGATCAGCAAGCATTTTGGTCAACTTGAAGGAAGGTATAGTTTCAAGTGATGATCAAACAGATACTCAATAGGCTCCCACGGAAGCCATCCAAGTCAGGAGACAATCGTGATGGAGGAACTTCTGCATTTCAGTCAAATGCTTCAAATAGTTCAAGAAGCAGTGACTTGTCTAATTCCCGACCAGGGAATTTGAGTGCTCCATCGCTTTCAGGTGTCACTGGTTCTTCAGCTCCAGGACTGAATCATGGAGATAGACTTCCACAGGCTATAAATGCTAAGGTGAATGGACATGCAGCAGTTTTCTCGGTTGAGGCATTGCCTAATTTGAAGGATGTACCACCTTCTGAGAAGCAAAACTTGTTCATCAAAAAGCTGAACTTGTGTTGTGTCTTGTTTGACTTTTCTGACCCAACTAAAAACACGAAAGAGAAAGAGATTAAGCGTCAGACATTGGTGGAGCTAGTTGATTATGTTACTTCTGCAAACGGGAAATTTACAGAAACAGTCATGCAAGAAGTAATTAAGATGGTATCCACAAATTTATTCAGACCTCCTACTCCCCAGCCTCGTGAAAACAAAGTTTTGGAAGGTTTTGACTTGGAAGATGACGAACCAATGATGGACCCAGCATGGCCTCATTTACAAATTGTGTATGAGTTCCTTCTCAGGTTTGTGGCATCACCGGAGACTGATGCAAAATTGGCTAAGAGATACATTGATCACTCATTTGTTCTAAGGTTATTAGATCTCTTCGATTCAGAAGATCCAAGAGAAAGAGAGTACCTGAAGACTGTACTTCACCGTATATATGGAAAGTTCATGGTGCACCGCCCATTCATTAGGAAATCAATAAACAATATATTTTATCGGTTTATTTTTGAAACTGAGAAACATAATGGAATAGCAGAACTCTTAGAAATTTTGGGCAGTATAATCAATGGATTTGCTCTACCACTAAAGGAAGAACACAAGTTGTTCCTTGTTCGAGCTCTTATTCCACTTCACAAACCAAAATGCGTACAAATGTATCATCAGCAGTTATCTTACTGCATAACACAATTTGTGGAAAAGGACTGCAAGCTTGCTGATACTGTCATAAGAGGTTTGTTGAAATATTGGCCTATTACAAACAGTTCAAAGGAGGTAATGTTCATAGGTGAGCTGGAAGAGGTCTTAGAAGCAACTCAGCCTCCAGAGTTTCAGCGCTGTATGGTTCCCTTGTTTCGTCGGATAAATCGTTGCTTGAGCAGCTCACACTTTCAGGTTGGTTTTTTTGGTTGATTTGGTACATTCTTTTTTCTGTTATTTCTTCGTTTTTAAAGGAATTCATGGGTCACTAGACTGAATCTTGCTATGCTTCGTAAATTTAGCTACCTCATAAAAAGGTTCGTAATAAGCTAAAAGTTTCTGAAATCACCAAACAATTGTGGCTTCTTAAGAATTATGTGCAAGGGCTGACCGACATATCTTTAATGCTGAAGATTACAACTTTACTTTTATAAAAAAAAAGTTGTGCATGGAATTTTATTCTTCCATACCTTACTCCATGGTCCAGAGATTTCCCGTAGAAGTTCCTTCACTTTCCTATTACAATCTGCCGACTGACAAGAACCATCATGATTGTTTCCAAATCATTGCATCAACTTCCAGATTTGTACCCTTGAAATCATCTAGTGTTTGTAGCATCTTGGCTACTCTCCCTATCTCCCAGTCTTTAGTAACCTTATGAAGCTTAAAT